GTCCTGGCTCGCGTTTAGGCCCACTAAGTGTGTTTTCAGAACCTCTTGCGATTTAAACGCGATGTCCTTATTCCATTTCTGGCCGAGATTGTCTCGATGTAATACGTCGGGCTTACGTTCTAAGAATATTATTCCTGTTCGTGGAACTCTTCTGGGCTCTGGGAAGATTTTGTGGTAGGCCTATACGAGTGACGTGACGGTCGGTTCCTGCTCATTGGAGAGGTCGTGCAACGTTGTATTTTGGTTGTTGTTTGGGCCATTGACGGGCCCCAAGCCCAGCGGCCGGCAAGAGACGGACCCGGGAAGAAAAGCTTTCCCCAGGGAGGTTCCCTAGACGTTTTTTCGATACTGGACGACTTGTCAGGGCCGCCTACGATCCGATTCGATTCGCCGGCTGGGGCCGCGATTCCAATTCCATGCGATCCGGCTCTACGGGCATCGGGCAGCGCCAGCCGGAAGCGGGGTGCGGCGATTCGATACCGATCCGATTCGAGACGATTTGTTGGCCATTCGATCCGCTCTCGATCCGATACGATTTCGCGATCCGGTCCAGCGCAGACCTTCCTGTGAAGCCATTGTTGTCGCAAGTGGTGGTGCCGCCTCAGAACGCCCTAGATTAGAAGAAATGCTGAAATCGGTGATCATTGTTTTGTCAACGGCGCCTTTGGTTAGCAGCAGAGTGCCCTCGGTTCCCTGGCGAGGTTTGGCAAGGGGCTTACACCCGCTTCGTAAATTCGGCGGTGGCAACGTAGACACCTGCCCCACATATCAAAACACGCGACATATCAGAGTACAGGCCTGCCACGCCGTTGTATGCCTACAGGAGTGGCCTCTAGAACGTTCCTTCGTTCCGGGAGCATGGCGTGGGGGGCCTGTAGGAGTGCCGGGACGGCCGGTTCCTGCTCTAGACAGGGGGGTCGGGCCGGACAGGGCTAGGACAAGGATTACGCTAGGCCAGAGCTCTTTCTCAGCGATCCCGAACGCTCTGAGAAGGCCGCGGCGCCCGATGCATCTCTCAGAGATTCTCGCTTCATCCTCACCCGAAGTTGTCCTCTTCGTCTTACCCTGATCACTGGATACTGGAATTTTCTAGTCGCGACCGACGAGAACGGCCGCTGCCGATTTTTTCCGAACTTTGATACTGGTCCTTATTTGCTTCCAAATCGGTCGTTACCGATCGGTTGCGACCAGTCGGTCCCGATCGATGGCGAATGGTCACGTCCGATTTTGGGATCGGTCGCGACCGATCGCGACCGATTTGGAGCGTCGATCGGTCGCTACCGATCGCGACCGAACAAGGATCGCTATCCATTGATCTGGGTCGGACCCCTCCCCATCGCGCCGCTGCTGGAGGGACCAGCAAAGCAGCATTAGCAGCAGCTGTTGGGCCTCCGCGAGGAGGCCTCGGGAGCCTGCGCTGCCCGCCCCCGGGGGCGGCGCCAGGGCGCCGCCGTGGGATTTCTTGTGGCGCAGAAGCTCCCGGACGGAGTGGCCCAAAACAGTGTGTTCTGTGCGGTTCTCCCTGCTGCCGCCCGGCCCCCCGGCCGCCGCCGCCGCTGGTCAGAGGAGGAAAAGGTACCCATACCTCTACCCTTCGGCCGTTTCCCCTTTTTGGTCCTCCTCGGAGGATCTCGTCGCCACCGCTGGATTTGCCTCGAAATTCTGGTCAGAACGCGCCCAAGGAGAGGTCCAGGGAGTAGCGGTATGGGTACCTTTTGGTTTCCCTAGCTGGCTCCCCCGGCCGCCGTCCCCGCCACACCCCTGGGCTGCTCTCAGCGGGCCGCCTGGCTCCTCCATCCCTCTGCATGGTGGCGGAACTCGCCTGGCGCACCCCGCTTTGCTTGACTCGCCAGCGCCGTCCCTCTGCCGATCCGCCGACGCAAGAAGTTTACGCGATCCTTTGCTCCTCGTGTTGGTGCCCTCTCGATTTGTCGCCGCCCGTCCAGGTCGCGGCCTTCGTCGCCTTCGCCGTCGATGCTTTTTTCTACGACGGACCCTCATAGCAGACCAACGTGGAAGAGCAAACACCTGTGCCAGCCCTGCCGACTGGTAGCCCTGTTGACTGGCCGAGGACTTGGTTATGGGCTGCAGCCTCCTCTGGAAGAGCTGGGAAGTCCGATGGAGAAGGATGTCGTTGGGCAGCCGGCCGAACACGCGCACCGTGCCAACTCTAGAGCGCCGCAGAATGGTTGGTTCGATAGGTTCAAACAGCCCCTACGGTCGACCCTGCCAAATCGAGGGCACCCTTGCGTCCTGTGTCTCGCGACTCATGCCTTCACAGTCCCTTCGGCAACGTGGCCCTCGGAAGGCTCTTGTGTCCTCTCGTGTGTCCTCTCCAATGAGCCCCGAGTGCATCGTGAAAAGTCGGAGCTGCCACCTCATCGATGTCGCCTCCCGCAGCCGGCTGAACACGCGCAGAGGAGGAGGAGGAGGAGGAGGAGGAGGAGGAGGAGGAGGAGGAGGAGGAGGAGGAGCAGGAGCAGGAGCAGGAGGAGGGGGAGGAGGAGGAGGAGGAGGAGGAGGAGGAGGAGGAGGAGGAGAAGGAGGAGGAGGAGGAGAAGGAGCAGCAGGACCAGTGTAAACCTAAGAGCCATCAACGATGTTGGAATAAACCCACCATCCAAGCTCCCTCTTCATAATTATGCCCCTACAACGGTTCATTTCCATTGAAGTAATTGCCTCTTTGGGAGACATCCGTTTGAAGACCCTGAAGCATGCCAAAACATGGTTCTCGGGGTCCCAGCGCCATGGATCAACCTGACTGATGCGTCTGGACCACCCGAAACGTGCCAGAAAGCCATTCCTGGGATTTCAGCACAGCGAATCAACATAACCGTTGCACCCGCACAATCCTGAATCTTTTTGGACAACTGTTTGTGACACGTTGATGGTGGGAATCCGTGAATACCTTGCAGATGTTTAAACGGAATGCTCGCTGCGCTCAGGCGAACAACATTTTGAAAAGGAACCATCCGCCCGCAATCCGTGAAGCTCTGGCACATGTTTAACACAAGAAACGAATGTGCGCCGCACTTCAGCGAGAGCCACATTTTGAAAACGGCCCGCCCTCCACCGGTGAAACTGTTGCTATGTTTGAAGCTTAAGAGTCATGAGTGGTGAGGAAGTCTCAGTCGAAACGCCAGGCCTGTCTTAAAAATGACCTCGGGGTGCGACAGGGAGAAGCTATTTATAAGGACATGAAATGGAGGAGGAGGAACAACAAGGAGGAGGAGAAACAGGAGGAGAAGGAGGAGTGGGAAGAGGAGGAGGAGGAGGAGGAGGAGGAGGAGGAGGAGGAGGAGGAGGAGGAGGAGGAGCAGGAGGAGGAGGAGTCCGTAGCCATTGTGGCTCAAGGTTAAACGTTGTGAAGGGCTATAGACGCCCGAGAATCAGCGATTAGCCTTGGCACTCCGTGGCCACTCTCGAGGCCGTCAGGAGGCCGAGGCTTTTCTTTTCGAACCCACGGCGAGCTGCCCGAGCCGCCGTGATCTGCGAGCGAGGTTACTTCGTGCTGAGACGCGGCCATGGCGCCGGCGTGGACGTGCGGGACCTGTGGCTTCCACAACTTCGGGCACCGAGGCACTTGCAAGCAGGCAGGTTGCAACGGACGGAACCCCCAAGGCCCCACTCCGCAGGTCCAGTTCTCCTGGGGAAATCCATGGTGGGGCATGGGTGGGTTTGGCGGCGGCGGCAAAGGGGGTAAAGGCGGCGGAGCCTTCATCCCTGGAGGCGGCGGCGGCAAGGAGAACGGCTTCAGAGGAAAAGGAGGTGGTGGCGGTGGAGGAGCGGGGGGCGGAGGCAAGGCGTCTCCCCCTCCCAAGCGTGAGCTCACGGCCGAGGAGAAGTCTTTGTGGCTCAATCTCTCGGAGGAGCAGTTCGCGCTTGCCTCGCAGTCCATCCCGCGACACCAGAGGGATTCACTCATGCATCAGCGCGCGCTCCAGAACTATGGCCTCTCTGGGGCCAAGGCGGAGGCCGCACAGATCAACGCGCTCATTGGGAAGTACAGCCAGCAGATGGTGCACCTCAAGCAGAAGGTCGCGCGCATGCAGTCGAAGGCCGAGGAGGCGGTCAAGGCCGCCATCGTGGCGCAGGAGGAGCTGGACACCGTCCAGAAGCAGCTCGAGGACGCGAAGGCCCGCGGGCTCTCGCTGGGAGCGCAGGGTGGTGCGGGCGAGGCGAGGGCGGCGCCGCCAGTGTCTCTCGCCCAGCCCCTGCAGCAGGCGCTCGACGCCTTCGTCGGAGCACTCCCCGAGGGGGAGGCGGGCGAGGGTTTGCGCAAGGCCTTCGACACGATGCGCGAGACGCTGGAGGCGGCGGTGGCAGCGGCGGAGGCGAAGGTGCCGTCTGCCGCGGCCGCCGCCCCAGCCGCAGGCGGCGCAGCCCCAGGCAGCCCAGGACCCGCTGGGGGAGGACAGCCGAGGGCGAAGCGGGAAAGGCGTGGCGAAGTGGAGAATGCCGCCAGTGCTGAGAGTCGTCGTGCAGCTCGTGCTGACGCTGCTCGCGGCCGAGGCAGTGGAGGACACGCAACGGACATCGAGATCGACGAGGACCAGCAGGACGAGCACATGGAGGGAGCCGACAACGCCCTCGCCCGAGTGGGAGATGGACTACGTTCGGAGTTCCATGGCGACGAACGGGCGCAGCAGTGCGTCTCTTCCGTGCTGGACAAAGTCAAAGAGCAGATGGAGAAGGAGAGAGAGAGGAGGCTGGCAAGAGGGGCAACCGCAGCAGGTCACCGACACGCTCGTGCGGCTCCTGACGGTCTGAGTTGGGATTTTGTCTCAGCTAATGTCACAAGCTGGCCACGGTGCCAGTCCTTTTTAGAGGCCGAATGTCAGTCGAAGGTTTGTTTCCTTCAAGAGACGAAGGTCAAGGTAGGCGACGCCGCTCAGGCGTCGAACACTTTGGCCAAGGTAGGTTGGAATGTTCGTTTTGGAACCTGCGATGTGACCCAGTCTGAAGGTTTATCAGCAGGGGTAGGTTTGGCCGTCCGCAAGGGGGTAGGCATGGGCAGCAATCCCTTGGAGCCTCGACCTCATTCCAGGGCCGTCGTGGCCTGGGTCGGAGGCTGTGTCGCGGGAGGTTTCCACGCTGCCAGTGTTTACCTCCCGAGCGGGGACGGTGTAGGTGCCGAGGGCCGTCGCATTCTTTTCCAGGTTGGGGAGTTTCTGTTTTCCATGGGAAAGCCGTTCGTCATTGGCGGCGACTTCAACGCTCTGGAATCTGAGGTGAGAGGCACTGGTTTACTTGAGAAAATCGACGGGGTCATAATTCTGACTGGCAAGCCTACGTGCAGAGTGGGCAAGGATTGGCGTGATATTGACTTCTTCATTGTGTCGGCGAGCTTAGTGCCCTGTGTTTGGCGCTGCGATCGATTGGAAGGGTCTGAGTTGTCCACCCACTACCCCATCAGAATGTCGATCAGGACTAGCACTCATCTGGGTCAGATCAGATATTTGTGGACACCCAAGAGGTTCCCTGATCTTCCGATCGGCCCAGCGCCAGCCCCACCAGGCTGGTGGGAAGGCATTCAGATTCAGGTTGAGCAGCTGGTTCGCGAACCAGCAGTCACGCAAGCTCAGGTCTCGCAGGCTTATGCATCATTTTGTCAGGCAGCCGAGCTAGAGCTCGCGGACATGTACCAGCTGGAGCTGTCGGGCTCCAAGGGGAACTTTTTCGGCAGAGGCGACAAGTTTAATTACGTGTATAAGCCAGCCATTGTCAAGGTTGGCGGGCCACATCCTCTCGGGTCGCCAGTGTCTAGAGCGATGCGGAAGTTCCACGCACGCCTTGAAGAGTTGGGGCACCTCAAGCGTAAGGGATACGTTGATGATGACATGCAGGTATGTGAAATCAACCGAAAGCTTCAGAAGGCTCCCGAGGTACTCTGGCACTCTTCAGGCTGGCGGGAGTGGCGTGCATGTCATTTTAGTTTCAGAGGATACGAGGCGGACTCTATCAGGGACGCCTTGTTTGATTTGAGCAAGCTGATCCAGTCTGAGGAGGCGTCTTGGGTCAGGCAGCGTCAAAAGAAGTGGAGATCTTGGGCTTCAGAGGCGGTGTCTAACGGGGGGAGTATGGTTCACAGGTGGGTGAAGGTCCCGAACGAGTGGATCCCAGATGAGCCAGGCCCTGACGGAACCCCAGGAGGAGCGATGGACCAGATCGAGGCCCTCGAAAGTGAATGGAAGGGTATTTGGAGGTACGGTGACCTGAAGGAGCCAGAGGCTGAATTTCTGCAGTCGTTACCCATGGATGACCCTCCAGAGCCACTTGAGCCCCAGGAGTTACGCCGAGTTCTTGGAAAGTTTAAAAGTCGTACGGCAGTGGGGGCATGCAGGTGGCCGCCAGCACTTTTGACGTCACTTAGTGACGAAGGCCTTCGTGTATTTGGTCTCCTGCTGCACATGTGGGAGAAGTTCGTGTGTCTTCCAGAGCAGATCGCGCTGCTCATCCTCCCTTTCCTCCAGAAACCAGAAGGTGGGCGGCGACCGATTGGCATTTTGCCCACACCTGTGCGCGTTCTGGGGAGATTGCGACATAGGGAGGCGGAGAGATGGGGGGAGGCGAACCACAAGGAGTACATGTACGGGGGGAAGGGACGGAGCTGTGAGATGGCGGCATGGAGGCAAGCGATTAACAACGAGGCGGCTATAGCCAGCAAGTTTTTGAGTGCCTGCACGCTGATTGATCTTGAGAAGGCGTATGAGAGAGTGACGCACCAGCTCTTGCTGCGTTCGTGCCATCGGCATGGATTTAGTACCAGACGCATACGAGTGCTCCTCTTAGTTTATGGTGGGCCTCGCAGCATCAAGGTTGGCGAGGCCCTGTCCCTCCCATTCACAGTCAACAGCAGCATAGTCGCGGGGTGCTCGTTCGCGACGACGCTGTTGAAGATAGTGCTGAAAGATGTTTGTGACGAGTTTATGGCGAGATGGCCCCGTCTTGGGTTGGCGCTCATGGTCGACGATTCCACCATCCAAGCGTTGGGGTCAGAGCATTTCGTGAAGAAAGCACTGGTGTCGGGAACGTTGCAGTTTTGTCGGGGCTTGGAGGCCTTGGAGATGAAGGTTTCCAGGAAGAAATGCATTCTGGTGGCATCTGACATCAAAGTGGGCAGATCTCTGCAGCATAGTTTGCGAGAGTTCAGTTTCAAGTATGTGCCCGCGGCCAAGAACCTGGGAGTAGACTTTAAGTTGGCCTTCAACAAGGGCAGGCAGGTGACGAATAAAAGAATCGCCATTGTGCGGGGCAGAGTGCGACGATATCGAGCGTTCCGATTCTCGAAAAAACCGATTCAGCAGGTCTTCAGAGGAGGGGGAACGCCAGCTGCGATGTATGGGGTGGGGGTGGTGGGGATGTCCAACACCGCACTCCAGAAGCAGCGTGCCACGACGGCAGCTGCGCTTTTTGGCCCAGCCAAAGGAAGGTGCAGGGCAGTGCAGTTTTTGCTGGCAGAGGTGCCGCAGGTTGACCCGTCGTTCCTGGCGAACGCCTTGCCGCTCATGATGTGGTGCAAGGCAATATTTTTGCAGTGGTCATCGGAGGCGCAGATGCAGACGGCCTTTGACAAGGCCAAGAGAGATGGTGCTCGAGGCTGGAGTGGAGTCATAGGCCCTGCTGGAGCGGTGGTACAGACTCTGAATAGGCTGGGATGGACAGGGACCTCCTGGTGTAGTTGGGTCACTTCGTCGGGGCTTCGTCTGGACTTGCGCGAGTTGGGTCCTCGAACCGTTAAGGCCCTCGTAGACGGCACCACCGAGCAGCTCAGTTTAAAGAAGGTGAGCGAGTTTTACGACCTGTCTTGGGAGCCTTTCCTGGAACCGATCAGAGGTGTTATCGCAGAGCAGAGAAAGAGAGGGGACCATCTTGGGATCAGCCTACTTATTGCTCAGGTTTCAGGAGGCCTCTGGACGCAGAAAGATTTGTTCAAGCAGCGCTACAGCTTGGACCCGCTTTGCAGATGGTGCAAGGCCCGAGAAGGGTCTGTGCACCACAGGTTATGGGGCTGCGACGGCTCCTGGCTTTTACGGCGCGATCTCGACCCAGGGGGGCGCTTGTTGCAGCAAGGGATCAACGCCCAGGCAGATCTCAGATGGACGAGAGCGTTGGTGCCCAGCGACCGCGAAACCATCCCGAAGATTTTGCATGGAGCCGAATTTAAGTGGGCCCATCCTCCTCACCGCGATGGAACCCTGGGGCCATATGTTTGTGTTGATGGTTCAGGGTACGACAATGACTACCGATGGTTGGTCAGAGCAGGATGGGCAGTAGTATCAGTTTCTTCTATGCTGGAGGTGGAGGCCATTGCGTACGGGCCGTCACCGCTTCCAGTGCAGGACGTTCCTAGTGCAGAGCTTTTCGCCTTTTTTATGGCCCTGTCGTTCATGGGCCCCACCATCTCGATTTGCACGGACTGTCAGATGGTCGTTGATGGGTGGGAGGCTGGGGAGGCAGGCACAACTCACCCAAATAAGGCGTATGCGGAGCTCTGGAGGCAGATCTGGAGGAGAGTCGGCGATGTCGGGAGAGAGAACGTCCAGGTAGTCAAGATTGCTGCGCACCATTCGCGGCGTGCGGCATTCAACCAAGGAGTACCGCCTCATTTTTTCCATGGGAACAGGCTCGCCGACGAGTGGGCCAAGAAGGGTGCCAAGGCGCACCCGATGAATTTCCACGTCCGTGACAGGATCAGATTTCATCATGATCAAGTAACCTTGTTGGCCAGGTTCCTGACTGAGCTGTTGAAGCACGTGCACAAGTTAGGGTACCCTGATGTTGAGGCCATCAAGGAGCGTAGGCAGAGGACCCAGGTTAATTCAGAGGCCCCCCTGCTTGAAATCGTTCCAGATGGTAAGGGTCACCAAATATCACAGGTTCCTGGTGGGTGGGGATGCTGTGTCTGTGGGCTCGGGCGGGTCGCGCGCTCTCGGCTTGTGCAGCTGCCGTGCCCTGGGATCCCCGTGGTCTTTCAGAAAGCCCACCCCACCCACCGCCTTTGGGCCAATGGGCCAGTCTTGTGGTGCTCGGCGTGCGGCGTGTACGCCCAACAGCAGGTCAAATACCTAGCTGAGAGGTGTGCGGCACGCACTGTCGGTGAATGGAAGAAGAGGTCACTGCGCCTCTTGAAGCAGGGCAAGAATCCGTCCGCGCCGAAGGCGGAGGCGGTCGTGCCCGTGCCCCTCCATCGGTGAGGGTGATGTGCAGTGCGGGCATCTTGTCGTCACGGGATGCATCGCTTGGCAGCGCAGAGCGCAGAGCAGGAGGAGGAGGAGGGGGAGCAGGAAATGTAGGAGAAGGAGGAGGACACGGAGGAGGAGGAGGCGGAGCAGGAGAAAGAGAAGGAGCGGAGGAGGAGGAGGAGGAGATGGAGGAGGAGGAGGAGGAGGAGGAGGAGGAGGAGGAGGAGGAGGAGGAGGAGGAGGAGGAGGGGGGGAAGAGGAAGGAGGAGGAGGAGGAGGAGATGAAGAAGGAGGAAAAGGAAGAGGAGGAGGCGGTGGAGGAGGGGTAGCAAGGAGGAGAAGGAGCAGGAGGAGGAGGAGGAGGAGAGGAGGAGGAGGAGGAGGAGAAGAGGAGGACGAGGAAGACGAGGAGGACGAGGTGGACGAGGAGGACGAGGAGGACGAGGAGGACGAGGAGGAAAAGGAGGAGGAGGAGGAGGACGAGGGGAGGGGCGACATCGACGTGGCGACATTTTCTTCCCCTCTCCTCCCTCCTCCCTCCTCCTCCTCCTCCTCCTCCTCCTCCTCCGTCTCTTCCTTCTCCATCTCCTCCGCCCCTCCCCCTCCTCCTCCTCCTCCTCCCCTCCTCCTCCTCCTCCTCCTCCTCCTCCTCCCTCCTCCTCGTCCTCCCCCTCCTCTCCTCCTCCTCCCTCCCCTCCTCCTCCTCTTCTCCTCCTCCTCCTCCTTTCTCGTCCTCCTCGTCGTCCTCCTCCTCCTCCTGCTTCTCCTCTTCTCCCTCCTCCTCCTCCTCCTCCTCCCTCTCCTCCTTCTCCTCCTCCTCGTTCTCCTCATCCTCCTCCCTCCTCTCCTCCTCCTCCTCCTCCTCCTCCTCCTCCTCCTCCTCCTCCTCCCCACTCCTCCTCCTCGCCTTTTTTCTCTCGCCTCCTCCTTCTCGCCTCCCCCTTTTTCTCCTCCTCCTCCTCGCCTTCTTTCTCCTCCTCCGCCCCCTCGCCCCCCCCTTCGCCCTCCCTTCTCCGCGGCCCCTCCGCAGCGCGGGCCGGGCCTGGGCCGCTGGCTGGCGCTCACGGGCCTCGCGCAGGCGGTGGCCCACCGGCAGCCGGGCGCCTTCCCGGGCGTCCACGCAGGCGTCCGCGCCCCCCCGAGTTGCAGAGGAGGAAATGTCGAGTGTAGAGGATCGAGGAGCTTCGAGGATCGAGGAGCTTCGAGGGTCGAGGGTCGAGGATCGAGGATCGAGGGTCGAGGATCGAGGAGCTCCGAGGGTAGAGGAGAATCGAGGGTCGAGGATCGAGGATCGAGAATCAAGGGTCGAGGACCGAGGAGCTTCGAGGGTCGAGGATCAAGGATCGACGATTGAGGATCGATGATCGAAGATCTGAGAGGAGGACCAGGTACCCATACCGTTACCTCTCGCCTTCCCTTGTTTTTCCGCTTTTTGGGCCTCCTGGGAGGCCATCGCTGCCACCGCTGGTTTCGCCTTGAGATTCTGGTCAGAACGCACCCCGGGAGAGATCCGGGCAGTAGCGGTATTGGTACCTTTTGGTTTCCCCAGAGTTGCGTGCAATATTCACGTCCACTTCCACTGCGTCTTGGAGTTCGGATCCCTGCGTGAGAAACCAGAGGCGCAGTGAATGTGGATAAAGACTTGGCCCCCAGTGGCTATGTAGATGTTTATCCGTCTCCATTGCGCCTCCGCCTGTTGGCGCCTGTTCCCAGAAGGTTCAAGACGATGTAATAGGGCTATACATCGTACCCGCATTTGGGTCTTCCAAATGGGGTCCGAGCAGATGGTGTCGGATGATTGTTCTGCATCGCCGGTACGTTGACGATGCGGTTCGATGTGGAGCCAGAATTCGGGCAGTGGCGAAGCGTCCTGGCCTGCCTATAGGCCCACCAGAGATTGTTCTAAGAACCTTTTCTGGTCTGCGCGAAACGTTCTTAGAACACTGGTGGCTGAGACTGTCTTGTTCTGACACATCGGGCTTATGTTCTAAGGGCATTGCTTTTGTTCTTACAGCTTGTTTGAGTTCTGCGCACATTGCGTTGTGGGCCTATAGAATGCCAGGACGGTCGGTCTCTGCTCAAAGAGTTGTTCCACGCCGATGTCGCCGTGACGGAAAAGGGTCACATGTGAGAAGGTGGTCGGGAGTCCCCGGAACACGGGACGAGATAGGACAGGTTAGGTTCGACAGCATTCTGTCGGTACCGATCAACCCGCACAATAATTAGAACTGGTCATCGACGCGGAATTGAATCGAGCGGAAGTCGCCGTGACAAAGAGGGGCCCTGTTGAAATCTAGGCCTCCCACATGAGGTCCGAGTGGATGGGGTCGGAGGACGGCGCCGCGTCGCCAATACATTGCCAAGGCGGCTCGATCTCGAGCCCGAAGTTCTCCACGCCGATGGCTCCGATGCATCTCCGACGTCTCCGGTGCATCGCCCATGCAGCGGCGATGCAGCGGCGATGTGGCGTCATCCACCGATCCCATTTGCTCAGTCTCCATCTAGTTTGGAGGCCTCTAGGGAAGGAGGGCGGGAGGGAGGGCGGGAGCACGGGGCGAGACAGGACATGTCAGGTTGTGCAACACTTGGCAGGTGCCCTGCAGGTAGAGGATCATGATGTGGCCTCTTGGCTGTCTCGTCTGGCATGGCCGACAGCGCCACTGTGCAGCCGAGGCCTGCAGGGTTTCATCAGCAGGTTCGGAAACGGGATGCACAATTCCTAACCTGGGAAAAAAACAAAGATACAATTCATCGTCGATCCCCAGGAAGACATGCGAAACTATAGAGAATATATGCGGAAAATCGGTATTTGTGTGTATGTACATGTGTGTCCCTGGGCCCCTTCAAAGGTGGATGGGAGGCGGGAGGTTCAAAGCGAGTGGCGGGACGACGGCGACAGCGACAATGACATCGACGACGACGACGACGACGACGACGGCACGATGTTTCGACGACGACTGCGAGGACGATGCCGACGACGACAGTGGCGACCACGACAACTACAGCGACGTCGGTCACCGACGGCGTCTTTGGCAGTG